ATAATTTATGTTTTTTGATGGCGAGAAGCCATATTTGATTAATACATTAATTAATGTTGTCTAATTACTATTGTATTTTCGATTAGTAAATTTGATCATTCTATTTGTAATCAATTTTCCTTTAAATATTTTGTTAAAAGTTTATTTATTGTCTGTATTCTGACAGGCAAGAACTGTATTTGTTTAAAATATTGATTTGATTTATGTTCTTCTGTATTTTCGGTTAAAATTGTTTTCAAACTACGTGTAATCAAACTGTCTTCAATTGTACATACTGTAAATATTGCAATTATTGTCTGTATTTGATGGCCAGGAGCCGTATCTGTATGCTTTATTTAATTCTTAATAAAACAGGCTGGGCGCCCATGAAACTTTCCCTTTTCATCCCCTTTCCTATTTCGCTTTACTTTTTCCCCTTTGCCTCTTCCCTTAATTACCTTTCCTCTACTCTTCTTCACACTCGGGCAATACCAATGAGTAGTCCCGAGTCTTCATCCCCTTTATGAAATTAAATTAAATGTTATATAATTTATGGACAGCCTGTATGTTTATAAAACAAAGAATAAATTAAAACATAATTGATTGATTAATTTTATGAGACAGATATTGGGATTAAAATTTATTTAATGTAACAATTTTAATTAAAAAATTAAGAAAGTAAATTTTTAAAAACAGGGTTTCTACCCACCTGGAAAGTCAAGGATTTTCATTAGTGTTTGAAAAAAGTCAGGAAATTTATCAAAAAGTCAAGGAGTTTGTCTCCTTGGCTGCCTGGTTGATTTTGTTTGCTGACAATATGGCTGACCAAGTGCAGCCATCTGCAAGTTGCAAGAAGTAATGTGGTGCAATGCAAACTTATGAGCAAGGTGCAGAATATTTTCAGGATCCAAAATTTCTTCCAAACATATAGAAAATGTCCCCAAAATTATTGCACTCAAAATTAAACCATAATTTATGAATCAATTGATAATCATACATAATTTGGAAGATTCAAATTAATTTATACAAATCATTAAAGAGACCTACTATCCAATTTGCCATGCAGTGTTAAACTTTTGAGTTAACATAAACATATTTTAAATTAAAAGAATGCTTTAAGTATGTATCATCATTATCATAGGATAGCATATGCAATTATAAACTTGTTGTAATACATTGTTTAATAGAAATAAAATTGAAGTCAATGCCATGAATTATTATTTTTATGTTTAGCCCAGTTAGTAATTAATGGACTTTTTGACATCAAAAATGCAACATTTATCTGTTATCTATTTATTTATTTTTAAATAAATTATCTATTTATCTCTAATAATGACTGATAGCCTTATTTATTTATGATAATGACTGAAATTTTTGTAAGACTCAAAAACTTCAGTTAAGAACAAACTTCAAGTAATGAACACTAACAAATACTTTAAAAAAGAAAATTTCAGATTTGGCAAGAAAATTTTCATATTACTGAAATTATTTTCCTACCATGGCCATTTTGTCTAACTTCTAAAACACTCCTTTATACTATTTAAGTCACTAAAAAGTTAATAGGAAAAATTATACGTTTACAGTTTAAATAATTTCTTTAAAACATTGTATTTTTTTAAATTACTTGGAATTTTAAAACAACACAAGCTGGATATGGGCCCTGGTTTTTAATACTGGCTTTTTTGTGCCTAGCCCATCAATGGCTGAGTAGATGATTAGTTGATTACAGATTTACATCTCACCAATGGGTTAGTCAAATGTAGTTTTCTGGGTTTTCTTTATGTATCTAACACACAAATAGGGTCAGTTTCCTATAGAAAATTCTCCTAGGAGGTTTCTTGGCAGATTATCTAAGTGTTGCACTGCCTTCCCCCATCAATTGATTCATCCTGAGATGCTTAATTGCTTTCCTTATCTGATATCATTGAAAGCATCGTCTGAAAACAGAAAATTTTTGCATAGTACTGAACAGTTCAAATTTTTATATCTAGGTAATTGAAATAATTTGGATAGCAGATTTCTCAACCTTGTGTGGTCCACAGAGTTCTGTGGGTCTGTGTTGACATGAATCCTTGAGTTTATAGAAGAAAAAAAAGCATATATTACACAAATTAAGAAAAATGTTTCTTGTAATATAGTGGATGATTGGTTAATGAACAGTTTGGACTGCAAACAAATCAAACAATGAACACCTTCACGAAAGATTTTTATGTTTGGACAACAAGCACATGTTCAGATAATGAACACCTCACAGAACAAACACAAGAAGTGACACTGCATTTAACATTTGTAAAACTATATTTTAATGGCATCTATATGGAATGAGACTTTCACAATTGTATACATAACCTTTTTTGTACTAGTTAATTTCTGTTCTCTGAATTTTTGTAAGTGCTTTTCTGAACTTTTTATTTAAGAAAACTGATAATATTATTGGGCCTAAAATGAGTGGTGTCAAGTGTGTTCACTATAGAAACTAAGCAAGAGATAATAGCCAAGGTAGAGAGTGGGAAGATGTCTGATGTTGCCAGGCAGTATGGCTTGAACGGGTCTACAGTAGGCACAATCTTAGCTATGAAAGATATAATCAGAAAGACTCAAGCAGATAAAGGAGTAATGAAAATCACATCTGAGAAACAAAGATATGCCATCCATGAAAAATGGAGAGATTGATTTTAATTTATTATTACATGTAAATTTATGTAGTAAGAAAGTATATATATTATTTATTTATTTTTTGGGGTCTCCAGAACGAATTAATCAAATTACCATAAAAATCTATGGTAAATCAATAATCGGTTAATGAACAATTCGGGTAACAAACATGGTCTTGGAATGGATTAAGTTATTTAACCAATCACCCACTGTATTTATCTTTATTAAAACACACACTAAAGTTTAAATTAAAAGCATATAAAATTATTTAGATTAAATGAAAATGTTAATAAGTTTCGTAAACTGAGTTAAGTATAAATCTAAATAGTTCTAGCCTAATTCAGCAACAATTTTTTGTTTAGCAAATATTTTTGCTTATCTGAGTAGCTATCCTCAGGGTCAAACATTTATATAATATATTCATTCCTTTTACGTCTAAATCTTTACTCTTTTAAATTTCTATGTATATGCTGTCTACTAAGACCTTGTTTACTAATAGGACTTATTATACTGGTGTAGTTTCTGATTAGCAAATAGAGGAGATCTTAGTCAAAAGTCAAAACAAAATATCTTTATTTTTACCTGGTAAAAATATTTTGTTTTGACTTTTGACTAAGATCTATATTTGCTAATCAGAACTTTTAGTTTACTGAGTGCTATGTTAGACTTGTATGATTTGCCGAATATAGATCACATGCCCTTGATGAAACTGATTGGCTGTGTGACATTTTTCAGTTCTTATTTTTTATAGATTAAACAAAAGATGACAGCTAAATGCTGGATAATATATCCAGCATTGTTGAATAGTTGAGCATTCTTTTAATCAATAGAAGTAATATTTTCACGAAAACAAAAATAGAAAACAAATAGAAAACAAATGAGTCTTATACAACTCAGCCGTATTATTGAATAAAAAGAAAGCAAATTTTTGCAATTTATATTTTATAAGAGCCTCCTTCAAAATAAATTATAGTCCATCCAAATTTTGGGCAGTTTTACATACCAGCACCTCCAGTTGCATTTTTTCAAAGTAATTGATGCCGTTGGTTTGCCCATCCTTCAAAAGAAAGTTATACCTACTCAATAGCATAAACTCCAGCAAAAATTCCTTTACTTATGTGAACATTTTCTTCCATATTTCATTGGATATCATCAGGCTGTAGAATTGGAAAATGGAGTTGTGATGTTTGAAAATTTGAATGCAATGTATTATTGTTTGTTGATTTGTGGAGATGTTTCTGATTTGGACAGTCTCTGATTGGAGGAGACAATCCCCATATGAACCTGTGATTTATGGGTGATGAAGGAAAAATTTCCATGGGTTGGAAAATGTGTCATCATCTTTAAAGTTGATTGTCTTCGTATTTAATGCTGCCTTATATATTTCAAGCAATTTAAGGTAGCAGAGTTGCCCCTGTCAGATGTTCACCATGGGTTTATACAGGAAATGTCTCCTCCATTCAGTGACTGCCCAGATTGGAAACATCTCCACCAGTCAGCAAATGACAACACATTGCATTTGCATGTGTTGTCATTTGCTGACTGGTGACAGTTATGTCTAGTAAAGAAAGGTATTTTTTATTGTGACATAATTCCTTTTTTATGTGAATTTTTTTTGCGGTAGTTTTTGGCGATATCCGCAAAATTCTTTTGCGGATATTGCCAAAAACTACCGCAAAAAAAAAATATCCATCCTTCACCACTGCCACGCGATTGCCCTTGATGGATATATCTGTCGGTCACTGCTGAGTGGTTAAATATCTTTAGTTTTATCCTATAACATTTCAAGTCAAATTTTGTAATAATGAAAAATTCTAATTTTTTAATATTAAATTTTAATGTTGAATATTCCAAGCATTTGTGACCAAAGGGTTGGCACCAGATCAATGATGCTTATGTCAGGATTGGTGATGGAGATTTCAATGCCCTTTTTTTGTAGTGTTAAGTTTTTTTGACCAATAGGTGAATTTTGGATGAAAGTTCCTGGTGACACATACATTCAGAAGATGTGTCACCTTGGAAAAGGAAGTAGATCTGGGGAAAGATGCAATCACATCCTTCCAGTTTTTTGTGTTGGGAAAATTTTCTTTATAGAATATGTGAGATTTAAGTGTTATTCTTAACAAATTTGATAGATATATTTGGTTGCAGTTAAATAAAATTTTCATCTCATCCGGTCTCTCACACATTGATTTAATAATAATTAATTTAATAATGATATCTAGAATCTTTATTATTAGTAAGGAAGAGAAATGCAAACATGAAAGCAAGAATAAAAGCAATTTAGTTATTGTATGAATGGTTTTTAAATTTATTTGATTAATGGAACAGCCATTTTTTAGAATTTAATTGTATTATTACAGTTGATGCTCTTGTTTAAAAAAATTACTGCCAGTATGCAGATATGATGACTGAAGACACCATATTATTTTTATAGAGCAACTGTCACTATGAATGGCTACTGATACTTTATGCTGTCTGATAGTATGCTCTACTGGCACATTCTGGCTAAAAATTAGCCCTAATTAGAATTATTAAACATTTTGATATTCAAGAATTACATTTTTAAATATCAAAATTAAATTTGAACATCAAAAATTAATCAATTTAATGAATATTTTATTTTCAGGCACAATCTCCAGGCTTTCCTGAATTGGAGGAATTAAGTGTTGCTGTAGAAAGTGGAGGAGGTTTAGGTGATAATGATCTTGATAGGTATGCTTTTATATATTTTGATAAAAATGTTTTGATTTAAAATAGTAGAAAATTAATTGCTTTTATTAAGCAAATTTGATTAAATAATGGTTAGATTATTAAAGACATCTCATAAACTTCAATTATTGGATGTACGAGGTTGTCGTAACGTTTCTGTTTCCGGATTGGTACGCTTGCCTGCATGGGACATTAAACATCTCTATTTATCTCAGTGTTCTGTAGCTCGAAGACCAGATTTAGAGTTAGTTCTTCAAAAGGTAAATATTAAGAATAACTTTTTAATGTTTATTGATTAGAGAGAGAGAGCGAGGGCTTTCATAAAACATTGCTTTCTTAATTTAAGTGGGGTCATAGTTTGGAAAATGTAGACCTCTCTTGGGCAGTTAATGAAGAAGCAATTAATCAAGGAATAATGGCATTGGCAACTTCAGAAAAAGGATGTCCCCTAAAAAGTCTTGATCTTTGTGGTTCTGCAGTATCTTATGATAGTATAAAGTAAGGTTATATTATAAATATTTTTAGATAATAAATTCCAATTATACTGCAAAATCATCTAAAAATATGCTAAATTTCAAAATATATTATTTTCAGATTATTACTTTCAAAATGTTTACATCTACAAACTTTAAATCTCCAATCTTGCCGTAGCCTTCCACGAGGCATAAAACGACTTTACATAAAAGATGATTTGAATCACTTGCGCGAGCTGATTGATGACGGTCGTTTTGACGAGTCGCCATCTTCAGTAGAATTTTAGAGTATTTTTCATTTCTACAAAATAATGACTGAATCAGTCAAATACTATATATGAGAAATCTCAGTGCCTGACTGGTAAATTTCCAGTTGTTTATCATGAAATTTTATGTAACTGTAGTAGTATTCGTGGGGGAAAAAGTTAATGTTAATTTGAAAAATTTTATCTTTTATTAAGATATTAATGTTCACATCTGTTTATAATATAAGCCTTTAAAATAAATGTAACTTGGATGTGTGCAATTTTATCATAGGCGCTGCTTATTGGTTATAAGTTTTAAATTTCTTTATATTGTAAAGTTGATATTGATATAAATGTTTGCCAAATGATCTGTTCTAAATTGTTATGTTAAAAAAATAAAAACCATTATTGTCTTCTTCTTTCTATAAATATTATAGTCATTAATTTTATATTTCAAGATTAAATTTTCTTTTAAATTATAAAAATTTTTGAAAGTTTATGCACTATTTAAAATATGTAATTTTAATGTGTAGAAATTATTTTTAAGAATTCTTAAGGAATATGAGTGTTTGCACCTATTTGGTAGGCATTAATTAAAATGCTGTAAAAATTTTTATCTGACAATATTTATTTCTCAAAAGTAAATATTGAGAACGAGCTGGAAATTATATATATTAAATATACATCTTGTATTTCTGTAACGCAATCATTATTCTGTGATAAAATGTAAGAATGATAGTACCTGAATGTAGTTTTGGTATCACAATTATATTATACTCCAGCTCTGTCTCAAAATTGTAGCAAATGTTAATTCAATTTTTTGTATTTATACCATATTTACTCCAATCTAAAATAAATCAAAATTGAATGAAATCCATAGACAATTTAGGTAAAAACTATAATTTTTGAATTAAATGACTTGAAAATGAGATAGTAAGATTATTGTATTTCTTTCTCATACTTTGAAAGACAAACATAATCATTTTGTAAAATGTAAATTTTACTGAATACTTATTATGCATTTAGTAGATAGAATACCAAATTTCAAATTTGTTTGATTCTAAATCAGAGAAAATTTGGGGGAAAAATAAAATATGTACATACATAAACTAATAATTAATAGAATAAAATATTAGTTGTTTGAAATTTTAAAATAACCATTGTAAAATAATTAAAGTACAGGTATACCTCGCCTTACGTCGGTAATTGGTTCCAGGAGAACGACTTAAGTCGAAAAACGACGTAAGTCGAATTTACTTGTCTCCAAATCCACCTTTTCACTAGGCTAAACCGTAAATTACCATTCCCGGTTCTGTATTTTATTTATTAATGCATTTTTAATAATATATGGTTAATAAAAATCTACTTTAAGCTTACAAACAAATAAATTTTAGTTTTTAATATACTGTAGTACAAAAAAAAATCTAAATTTACGAATGCATGTACCGTAAATACAGTACATACTTGTATATATTTTAATATGATTTTATGTGCTTTAAACGTTTTCCTAGTGATATTACGACTTCAATATTTGTGGCGGACAGACGTAAAGTCCAATAAAATGACTTAAACTTGATTTTTATTTTTCCATATACATTTTGACAAACGACGTATAATCGGGAACGACGTAACTCGAAACGACGTAAGTCGAGGTATGCCTGTACTTCTAGTCAACATTGTCTAGAGAGAGATTTAAGCAGATATGTAGATGATATTTGTGTAGAAAAAAGTTAGTATCAAACTTACCACTATGGCACTGTAAGCAACAAATATTTTAATGCCAAATGATTGCTGCATTGGGTTATATTAATATTACTAAATCCTGAAATCATTTGCCATTAATCTAAGAATCAGGTCTAAGGCTGTTTGTATTTGTAAACAAACATTTTATTTGTATAGGACACTCATGCTATATAGAGACCATTGCAATGCAGTGGCTACTGTTCAATGTGGACCCTGTACTGAAGGTGTAATCTGGAAGGCAATGAACAGTGAATTCATTGCCTTCCATTGCATTCTAAAGGTGGTGAACACCATGTTTAACAGCAGATCATAATTGATCTTCTGCAATGCTTTTCACATTGATACTCTTTCAAGGCTTACAAACTGTCCTCAATAAATGACACTTCTTAAGTATCTCCAAAACCAGAAATCACATAAATTAAGATTATATAGTTTGCAGTGCCATAGTTGTGAGCTTTGGTACTAATTTTTTTTACAAAAATAAATGTCTTCCACATGTCCTGAAATGTCACCATATCAGATTTGGTGCATTTGGACTCCTCAATATCTCTGGACAGTGTTGAATAGAAGTACTTTAATTATGATCATTTGATGCATAAGTAGAAACATTTCTATTTAAACTAGCTAATTGATATTCAATTTTAAACTGATACCCAAGAGAATTAATGAAACTAGAAGTATTGAAATTTACGTCACCCTATTAAATAATAGGATGATGTAATTTAGTTTATATAATCCTAGTTCCATTTCTTCAAGATTACATTTAGTCTAAGATAATAAATGTAACAAAGGTTGCTTTTTTCATGCCAGCGGTTCAGTTGAAAGATAAAATTACAGATTGTAAATTAAACTGAAAAATTTTTATCTACTATTATATCTTATTGAAATTAATTTAGTTCATTTAATTTTCAGTTTAACAGTATTTAATAAGAAAGTTCTCTATTATTTTAAATGTCATNTAGTATCTATCATTACAGCAACAAACATGTAAACTTTGTTTAATAAAATAGCACTGTACATACCTTCGTTTGTTGTAGTTGGTGGCAGAAAAGTGGAGATATACGGATCTTAATGCTTAGAAGGGGAATCCCCTCTAAAAAATAATGGGTAGCACTTCATCAGAAGATTCTTCGAGTCAAAGTCTCTTTTGGTAAAAAAAAAAAAACCCACCAGTGGCTAAGTGGTCTTCATATATTGAACATAGGGAGTTCGTTTGTGGGTTTGCACCTTGCTAAGACGGGCTGGCTACATGGAGTTTTCCGGATTTTTTCCATGTCTGTAATCCCTAAATAGGGGCCAGTTTCCCTTAAAAACACTTCCCAGAAGGCATTCTTCCTAGGCAGATCGCCCAAGTGTTGCCATACCTTAACAAACAAACAAACTCTTTCCGTAAGGAACAAGAAATTGATTTAAAGTTGATTGTCTTACTCTTTTAATCAAAATTTTTCTCAAATGCGATAGCGCATTGTCATTTATATTGCGTTGTCATTTTCTATTGCCACTATGACTTTTTTCTTTCTTGGATACCATATTAATTAAATATATAAATCACAAAATTGAAAAAGAAGTATAGCACAAACACTTGGAAAAGCAATGCTTAACTCGCGCATGCCTAACACCAACTAAAATTTGACACAAAATACCATTCTAAACACAATCGGCTGGTTGGAAGTTGATAGTGTCGATGCTCTTTTAGTTGTTTGTTGTATAAGTGCCTCCGGGGCAGTATTGTTAAACAGTTTGTGAGACTCCATTGGTCAGTGTCAGCTACAACACGGCTTCGGCATGAAGACGGAAAGATTTGTGTGTTGACACAGCACTTCTGATTTTTCACTCCTTTGTGTTGACTCGCCGAGTTCGTTGTGTCCTTCTTGATCGGGATTACATCAATCTCCAATCTCCCCTTTCTGTCCATCCCTGATTGGTTCTACATTTGTCCCTAAGTGAAAGGTGAGATCTGTTCAGGTCCCGAGAAGGTTTGCTTCGGGAAATTTACCCAACACCATTCATTAACTCTGGATGGAAGGTATAGATGGGACTTTGAACTTGTGCTCATTTTACCCCATTGTTATCTAGTCTATGACATCTTAGAATTTTAATGACCTGACACGATGTCCCCTTTTATAATTAACCTTTTCCATCTTCAAGATTTTCTATGTTCTAATTATATGTATACGAGCACCTTGTCAAAGGTTCATTTCTACTGGAGGATGCTCGTTTACACTTATTGCGTCATGTTTTACATTAATAGTATTTTTTTCTTGTCTTGGTTTCATATGACTATCACAACTGAATCCGATCTTTCATTAGTTTTAACAATGGAGGTTTTTTTTCCTCTCTAGTTTCGTTTTAATAAATTTCTAATATAAATGTTTAATTTCAACCCGTTTTTTGTGGGACCTCACATCAACATGACTCTATTGCTAGCAGGAAAACTATGCAGTACAGGAGCAAGACCCCACTAAAAGAGTTGAGAACGTTGTGACAAAAAGTTGCAGCCTGGCATTGTGATGATGTCGCAATAAATAATTGCTTGTTTGAATTAGTTTATTTTATTTGGTTACAGCAACATGACACGTGAGCAATCTGCCAAGTGGGATGCATCCAGGAAAAAATGACAAACTAACTACTAGTGTTTGTTGGTTTTAATCACTCAGCTAATTGAGGGCACTTATTAAGAAAGTACCATTCAGAAATGAAAAACTGAGTGGCAAGTGCTATATACTACTTCTATGCATCAGCTATATACTACCTGTTGCAGTAATGATATAGTGCATCTATTTTGCACTATATTATTAATAGATGCACAAAAAAGATGCAAAATAGATTTTAAATATCCTTTTTTGTGAGAATTATATTTAATTTATTTTGTTAAATTTTTGCCAATAGATGGCGCTGTGTGTAAATAAACAAATCTAATGTAAATAGAAATTAATTGATATACAGAAAGTTAATAGATATTTTGGGGTTGGATGTATGACATTATCTAAGTTGGAAGTATGTAAATGTAACTACTACACAGTTTCATAGCATTTGGTTGAATGGCCTAAGCATGCATAGTGAACAAACAAACAAACATTCTCATTCATATATATATATATATATGAGTAATATTTATGAGAAAAACTATCTGCAAATAAACTAAACTGACTAGTATAGTATGAAGGATCTACACAACTAATCTGAAGAAAAGATGATCAAATATCCATTAGTTTTCCATGATGGGCAAAATTAAGGTTTGTCATATAGCCCGTGTTCATTAACACTAACTCTAGATATTCAAATACTCAAGGTTTCAAGCATTTAATATTAACAAATATGTTTTGACTTTTATTCAAATCAAAAGTCTTTTGTGTTTAGTTTAATTAAAAATTTAATTAAAACTTTATTTTTTAGGAGTCTTGTCCCAATCTTCAGGTGTTAGATGCTTCAAATCTTACCATCAGATCTCGAAATGCTGTGCTACCTCTGGAAGACTTTCAGCAAGGATGTCCTAGACTTCGTATTTTAAGATTAGCAAACAGTGATGTTTCATTATCAACTGCATCTCTAACTAAACAGGTTTGTAAAAAGATAACTTTATTCAAGTCTGATAACATCAAAGTTATAGCTTTAGATTATGTGGGATTATTTTTTTATTTAGAAATTAAATTAAATTTATCAGGATTGTTTTTTTTGTTATTAATAATATAATTCATTATAGTTAAATAATTGTGATACATGACAAATTTTTTGTATAAACTTAGATTTTAAAATAATTTTTATCAATGTAAATTCATAAAGATATTGAATGTAAATGCAGATTTACAGTATAATAAGGTTTTATTATAGTGTATTTAAAAACTAACAGCATTTGTCAGTTAATTGCTAATATATACATGTTAATCTGTATGAAACTTTGTATAATATAGACTATATCGTAACGTATGTTTAATACAGACTAAACTTTATTAAATTTTATGTTTCAGTGTGGGATTGTATTTGTTCTTGTTACAGTTAAAGAATTTCAAAGATTGTTAGGAATCTACAGGAATTAATATATGTAATCATCCTTAGGTTACATAGTGCTGTTTTTATATTTTTCAATTACCATTCTATTTTCATCTTAATGATTCATAATGTGTTGCACATACCCACTGTTAAAATTACATAATGCATATCCTGGATCAATATCTCTTAACTTTAGTAAGAAATAACACGTGGCATGAGATATCAAATGTCACATTACTTTATTTAATTAAATATGTATGAAGTAATGACATAAACAGTAGGGTTTACTATGACAACTCTTCAGAAACAAAAATGAATCATTTTGTTACTCAAGAGTTGAGATCCTAGCATTACATAACTTTTTTAAACATTCCATCCCTTGTAATGCATTATAATGATTATTTACAAACCCACCCACCCATTTCTCT